GGGAAATTCCTTGTATGCGACTTGTCTTCCCATTTGATTCCCATTTAATCAATACTAGCTGGGTGACTGTACTTGTAATCTTTTTTAAAAAAATTCTTTTATTGGTAGATTTTAGGTATACAGTATGTTTACATTTATCATTGGGTGCTTGTACCTGTACATGATGTATCTTGGCTCTTATTTTTTCCCCATTGCCTGTGCACCCTTCACCCCCTCCACCCTTCCCTATTTACAAAGACGTTGTTTCCATTTTTTTCTTTTCTTATAATTTTTCCTTTCCCTTCTTTCCTTTCCCCTTTCCCTCCCACCACCCCTACACCTTTGGACCTTTTCCTATTTCAAATTATCAATTATTCATTTTAATCATTTTAATCCTTATTTACACTTTCAGTTTCTCACACTAGAGAAACTATTTGGTATTTACACATGTGTGTCCTATTTATTTCACTTAAGAGGATGGCCTCAATATGCATCCATTTAGCTATAAATGTCTAGTTTCTCGTTCTTTATGGCTGAGTAGTACTCCATTTTATAAAAAATCCACATCTTCTTTATCCAGTTTCCAATTGCTGGGCACTTAGGCTGTTTCCAAGCTTTAGCTATGACAAACTGTGGCGCACATATATCGCTGTGGTATGATTCTTTTAATTCTTTTGGAAAGATACCCAGCAGGGGAATAGCTGGATCAAATAGGACCTCTAGCCCTAGTTCTTTGAGGTATCTCCATACTGATTTCCACAGTGGTTGCACCAGTCTGCACTCCCACCAACAATGGAGAAGGGTTCCTTTCTCCCCACAACTTCTCCAGCATTTGTTATTCGTTGATTTCTTGATAGCAGCCATTCTTTCTGGGGTGAAGTGGAATCTCAGTGTTGTTTTCATCTGCATCTCTCGAATGACCAGTGATGTTGAACATTTTTTCATATGTTTATTTGCTGTTTCTGCTTCTTTGTCTGAGAAATGTCTGTTCATTTCAGATGTCCATTTTTGAATTGGGTCTTTGAATTTGGGGAGGTCTGATTTTTTTCAATTCTTTATATATTCCAGATAGTAGACCTTTGTCTGAGGTACAGCTGCTAAAAATTTTTTCCCACATTGTAGGTTGTCTCTTAGCTCTGTTGGTGGTTTCTCTTGCAGTGCAGAAGCTTTTTAATAAGATGAGATCCCAGTTGTTGATTCTTTGTGCTAATTCCCATGCTACTGAAGTTTTGTTCATAAAGTCTTGTACTTGTAATCTTATTAGTTGGTCATGGTTTTGTCCCACCTCATGCCCACCTTGTAAATTTCCACTGGGTCTTATAGTTTTGTCCCACTTTGTACCCGCCTCACCACATGGCTTTGCTGTGTAAAACATCTTTGCAAAGTGGGTTGAGCGGGCAACCCACTTTCCAGTCCTCCTTCTGTCTCTCTAAGCAGAAGCTTTCTTTCTCCCAATAAATTTTTCCTACTCTTAACCTCCATTGTTCCTAGAATTCATTCTTCGATTTTAGAGAACACGAACTCACGTTTTGGATATCTACTAGGTTTGGGAGTTACATCTCTTCCCCCTGTGTCATCTGTATTTCTTTAGTATTTTTTCTCATATAATATTTGTTGGATTTTTGAGAAAGCATTCATTTCTCTAATTGTGGAGAGGGGAGATAGAGAGTAGACACTCCCTCAATGCTGGAAGTAGAGTTCAGGTAGATGGTTCATATCTATCTGTCTCTGGGTCTAAGGAGTGCAAGAAGGCAGTAGCAGTTGGCAGCTAATGAGAGGGCCATACAGGTAAGGAAGAACTGGAACAGCACTGGGACCTATGTCTTGCTTTTTATTGTTGTTGTTTTTTTAAAGGCATTTCTTCATACCAAGAGATTTGCCTCCTTTTAAAGCCTTGTAGAATTTGTAGATTCCATGTCTAGACTAGTTAAGAAACTATAAGTTGTTGACCTTCAAATTATTGATCATTTCTAATTTCTTCAGGAATGCCAACTTGTTACTGAACCTTTTATTTCCCTCTTCTTTTTTTTTTTGAATCTTGTAACTTACCTTACCCAGCATTTTGTAGACACAATAAGAAAGTAGGGATGAGGGCCTAGCTGTTTGGCAATATCTGACATCATTTGTATGGAATATTATTTTCTCCCCCATTTGTCTAGATCTTGTTTCTTCGTGGCATGATAACAGTATCAAAATATGTACTGTCTGAAATTTAGTGACTTATTTGGTATAAGAAATTGAGTAGAAAACCATACTTTTACATTGTTTCAGTATATAGCTCAAAAATTAGATTAAGAGTTAGCATCAAGTATAAAGGATCAAGACATGATGTACATATGTACTGGAACCAATACCCCACAATGATTATACTCATTATGTATTGCAGAGATTTCCAAAAAAAACAAAACAAAAAGCAAAGTGTGTCAAGCCAGGCCTGGTGACTCATATCTGTAATTGCAGCTACCAAGGAAGCCATGGCAGGAGGGTCATAAATTCAAACCCTGCCTAGGCAATCTTTTGAGATCGTATCTGAAAATTAAAAGGACTGGGGATGCAACTTAGTGCTTCCTCGGTTCAATCCCCAGTACCCACCACCACTACCACCATCGCCAAAAGAGAGAAGAAGGAAAAAAAGATATAGTGTCACTAACTTCAGCCAGTTTCTCCCTCTTCTCCCCACATCACCAACTCTTTTATATTTGGCTTCTTACATTTTTTGTTAGGGAATCTTGCCTTCCTGGTTACATGTATTAACAGGTCTCATATTGCATTGGCTCTTCTTTTTTTTTTTTGCTACCAGGGATCGAACTCTAGACCTTGTGCTTGCGAAGCAGGCTGTGGAACTACTGAGCTAAATCCTGGCCCTTGACTCTTCTTTTTTTGCAGACCATATTGCCTTATTATATAGTACCCTATGCTCTGATGACTTTTCACATTTTCTGAGCACATAAAATAATTTGTCAATAAGAAATTATTATGTGTTTTGTTTCCCCAGCTGCATCCTTGTGAGCAAGGACTATTTCCTTGTCTTATTTTGAAATGCACACATGACTGTATGTATAGTCCAGAGTCCATAGTAAATGATTAAGATGAGATTAGTACTGGAATTTAAAAGCCCTGTAAATTTCCTACTCTTCTGAGGGAACTGAACATGGTAGACATATGGGTTGTGGATATCACACATTTTGTGGTTTCTTGTTGCATGACTAAATAATTTTGCTGGTGAATTAATAACATTTTGGGATGGTGGTGGTGGTTGGATCCATTTGTCTAAAAGAGACTAAATTATTGAATCCACTTTTGTAAAAGAGATCTTAAATTGTTGTAGACAACATTTTGTATCTTGCCAATTTTGAATTTTTGGATAATTTTTCACTCCTCAAAAACAGTTTGTTCTTCAGTGATTTCAGTGTAAGTCCTTTATGTGACATTCATTGTGAGGCTGCTGCAGTGAATGAGACAAATCCCATTCTTCCTGCTGCTCTGCAGAGCAAACTTCAGGCAGTATCTCATGCACAATCCAGAATGAGAGCATACAAAATCTTCTCAACTCTGCCCTCAGTTTGTGTTTTTGATTCACTGCCATCCCACAGATAATCTATACTTTGACTGAATTGTTTCAGTCGTTTCTTAAACTTAGCTCATGCCTCCCTGCCTCTGCTTTGTTTCCTAAAATGCTCAAACCTGCTCATTCTTCATAGCCTCATTTAAGCAAACCTTTTGGCATTGTGCTTTTCTCAACCCTTTATCTCTCTACCCTCCTATGATCCTTTGCTTTTTGAATTGTCAGTGTTAAGAGTTATTTGGGTCCTTTGTCTTCTCTTCCTGGATTATAAGGCTCCAATTTAAGAAAAATATGAAATTTATCTTTTTCCTCTCACTGCACTTAGCATTGTTTTAATGCCATCCCACATAAGCATAACAAACAAAACCACCATTTTAATTATATTAACTATGAAATATTTAGGAAGCAAGTGCTATTTTAACTAAGCTAAAGTTAAGGTGTTTTGTGGTGTAGGGGGTCAAAGGTCTGTGACATTTGACCCCCTCTTCCTTTTTCTTCCAAAGATCGTATAGCTAGAGTTTAGTGCTATTACAGAATCACAGGCTGGGGGAGGGGGTGTTTCTTTAATGGCTCACTGCCTTCTTCTTTCTTAAAGAAAGATCATAAACAAATGGTCTTAAACATATAAGTATTTCTATCCTGTTTCCAGAAAACCTTTAAAGAAGGAAACTACAGCTTTTCTTGATGTAATGTTTTCAGTTTTGTGTTGAAAACTTTACAGTAACCAAATGCTCAATCTCCTAATTAACAACAATTTTATGATTTCATTTTCTTTTATAAACATTAGCTGGAAATGACTTGTTTTCAGCCTTAGTTTGTATTTTCATGATACCCTGTTGAATGTGTGGAGTAATGGAAATTTATCTATTGTTAATTAGGAACCCTGGGTCTTCAGTCCAGCCCATAATATAATAGCTATGTTTGGTTTTTCCCAATACCGTCATGTCAGTTCTTGCTGCTAAAACCTATAGGGATTCCCTGTAATTTTTCAGAAGGAAATACCTAAAGTACCTGGTAATAACTACTGTGGAAAAAAGGGAATTTATGCATGCAAACAGCAGTTTTGGGGAACCAAAGGTGGGGGGAGATATTGATTGATCCCTGGGGTTGTGTAAGTTGCTTCTTCTCTTTGGCTAGTTAATAATATATCTAGTTCCAATTTTAGAATTCACTGTCAAATAATTTATTTATGTTCCCTTAGCTTTTATTTCATTTCTAGGGAAAATGTTATAGTTATTGATATAAGTAGTCTTTGGTCTTTTAAAATGGTCACATTTCCATTTGAAAAATATGCATGAGATCATTACACTGCTGTTATTTTCCTGACTCTGAAGAAAGGAACTTTTAAATAAATTAGTTATTGTCTTCTGCGTTATTGAGCATGTGGTCAGTTGTCATGTTCATACATCCAGATGATCAAAGTCTGAACTTCTGTCTAATTCTTCCCTGCTGTTAGGCTACCCTGTCATGATCAAGGCCTCAGCAGGTGGTGGTGGGAAAGGCATGCGCATCGCTTGGGATGATGAAGAGACCAGGTGAGAGGCTGTCCAAAATACACTTTTGATGAAAACTGCAGTTACCAGAGTTTTATTAAAGTGACAGGTAAACATATCCAAAGCATAATGGGGCAATTATAGTGACCATCTAATTTTTAATTTTTAAATGGGATAAAAATTGAAATTATTCAGAGACCTTCCTTATCTAAATTTTAATGATGACTGTTGTATTATAGAAAAATTTTTGTTTTTTTAAACAGTAACAAAAGATTTTCTTTTTGTTCTTAGTGTATTTTAAAAATAAGAATCTTTTTCTAGGCAAAAATTACTAACATTTGGCTCTTTAATTTGGTGTGGTGTCTAGAGAGTTGAACCAAGTATATTTCATTGAGAGTTTATATGTTACCTCAATATGTATTTGTTTTCCTTTGTGACAAAATTATCTCCGTAGAGGTAGTCCATCACTTTGATAATTTTTTAGTATGAAATTCATTCTCTTCTTTCTGGGTTTGAAATTGCTTCATGTCCCTTATATATATGCCTTTTGTTGTAAATTTGGAACATTTCTTTTTTACTAGTTTCAGAAATCAGAAGTAATGTTTAAACAAAAGAAACCTTTTACTGCAATGCTTTGATAGCATTATAGCTATTAGAAAGTAATTGTTCAACCAATTGCCTGACATAAGCAAGTTTTAAGGCACTCTATTTGGTTTGTATTTTTTATTTTTAGATTTGTTAGTGGGAGAGATTTGTGTCAGTTTTAGGGATTGGGGTTGAAAAATCACAGAGTTATTATTTTATTATTAGTCCTACTCTTCCACTTGGAAGTAATCTGGTCTTCCAAATGGTTAATCCTACTTTCTTTTGTTTTCCTTATTTCCTTCCACATTCAATTCTCTCTTAAATCTCATAGGAACTAAAATCTGGAGTAGTCTGAAAGTCATCTTCTAGTACAGTGATATCCAAGACTTACTTAGAAATTAGCTTCTACAGTGAGAGGGTAAGGTGAAAATCTACTGGAGACAGAATATTCTTCATTCAGACTTATGGAAAGGTACCGCGTTGGGGACTTGCACCGACACTTTTAACTGTATAAGAACACTGGATTACAGAACCATTGTTTCTTTGATTGACATCAGGGAAGGTACTTGGCTTATGTTGTGAGGCAGTGGTCTTTAAACTCTAGCCTCTTTCACACTGGTACTGGTACCAGATACTGACTGAGGTAACAATAGGGTCTCTTCTCCTATCTTAATGCCATGTCAGGAAGAAGAAACACATTGTATGGGCTGGCAGTAATTGTTGAGAGCCTATTTGATAGGCACTGTTTTAGTTAGGTTTTAAGGAAATAGCAATGAACAAAACCAGAAAATAATCCATTTCTTCATATATTTTATGTGCTTAATCAAGGGTTCTTACCTTGAAATTAAGGGAAGGTATTCATGAAGATAGACAGGTTTTTAAAAGCACATATTTGTTTTACTAGCCACTACCTGGAATTTAGTGTTCCCTCCAGTGTAGCAATAAGCCAGAGTAATAGAAGCATCTCTGAAACTTTTCACCACAAGGAAATCACATGCATTTTCTTATCCCATTATGGTGTCACAGAGACTGCTTAGTTATAGTGATTTTCAAACCCATTGGTGGAGCTTATTATTTAATAAAGACCTGCATGTGCTATACCCTAAATGTTTAAGAATATTTTGATATGTATATTAGAGTATACTTTGTTTCCTATGCAGTCCTTTGCATTTTAAATTATTATTATTTTAATTATTATTATTAATAGTAGTAGTATTACTACTACTACTACGAGTATTTGTATTGCTAGGAATTGAACTCAGAACTTTGCTCTTGCTCATGCTAGGTAAGTACTCTACCCTCAGCCTGCTTATTATTATTAGGCTTTTAAGAAACAGGATTTCATTTCGTTCCCTAGACTAGCCCTGAACTCCTGGGCTCAATCGATCTTCCTGCCTCAGCCTTCTTTGTAGTTGGGACTGCAGGCAGATGTCACTATGCCTGGTAACACCGTGCATTTTATAACACTTCACACCTTACTTTGATAAGAAGTTCCTTATGCTGTATCATTCTGCAAAAGATATTTATGGCATAAAAAAGATCGCTAAATTCTGTTCTGGTAGCAGGAGCCAAACAGTGAACAACAACAACAAAAATGATATGCTCTTGGCCCGGGATTTAGCTCAGTGGTTTCGCTGCCTGCTGTGCAAGCGCAGGGACTCGAGTTCGATCCCTGGTACCAAAAAAAAGGATATACTCTCATGGAAAGTGAGTAGTATAAGAAAAATAAGAAAGCCGGGGATTTAGCTCAGTGGTTCCGTTGCCTCCCTCGCAAGTGCAAGGACCTGAGTTCGATCCCTGGTACCAAAAAAAAAAAAAAAAAAAGAAGTTGCTCTATATCCCTGTTTACCTGGAAAATCGAAACTGCAGAAAAGTTGAGATAACAGTCCAGCAAACACTGACTTGTCTGTTAATGTTGTGCCGCGACTCATGCACTCCTTCCATCCTTCCCTCCCTCTCTCCTGGAGGAAGAAAGCAATTTTTGTATAATCCCAAACATCTTAGTATTTTTTGATGCAGTGTAAAATTTAATAGCCATTAATTACTTTGCCTCTTATCCTAGGGGTGTCTGCCTCTTAATAACATTTTCCCCCCTCAGTTTTTTCAGGGAAGTAGCATCTTCAACATGTCTTAAAATCTTTAAAGTGTTGAAAAGATTTTAAACGGATGTCTGATGTTGTATAATAGAGAATAGAACCACCAATGTTATTGAACGTGGAATTTGAAATTTTCTTAATAATCACTGGTTTCTTTTCCATATCGAGTTTCTCATGGAATGTATGACATGAGTGGAATTAATTGTGCCTCCATGTTTGAATATCCCCACCAGAGTTTAGGCACTGTAAGAGCAGTTTCTGTTTTATATTGTATTCCTACTACCTTGGTGATCAGTAATTACTTACTGATTGAATGTAAAATTAAATGCAAAAAAGATGTTCTTTTTATTTTTTGGCATTGGAGATTAAACCCAGGGCCTTGTACATGCTGAACATGTGCTTTACCACTTAACTATGCCCCTGGCCCCAAGGATGTGAATACATTTTTCTTTAGTTCCAAAATATATCCATGATGCCTTCAAAGATGGTACTTATTTTGGTGACTTATTTTTTTTTTTTACTTTGGCTTTCTTGGTTTAAAAACAAAATGAAAGCTCTCAATTGTTACAAGAAGAGACAAACTATAAGGTGCTGTTTTCTCTTTGTGAATTATAGTGTCTCATCTACTATAAAGTTGGTTATGTTGTACTGAAAACAATGATTCATTGTGCTTCTGGTTTCTTTGAAGTGTGCACTCTCCTGAGATCTAAACTCCATTTCCCTAAATCAAAGATGTAAAAGTCATAATAGAAAGACTGAGAAAACCTAATACCTTTTCTCCCACAGAGCAGAAATTGGAAAATTTTAAATCACATTTTGAAATTTGTCTTCTAGTCAGTATTTACCTACAGTCTTATATGTTTAAAGAATGAAAACAAGCATATGAGATAGTTATTTTAATATTCCCAGATGGATTGTTTACAAATGAAATGATTAGAAAAACTTGATTTTAACATTTTATGTTAAATACAAGTATTTAACCTGAAGACAAACTGTCTATTAGAAGTAAAAGGAATTATATTTTATATTCTAAATATATCAATGAGTGGACAGTAATTAGCAGTTTAGGTAAGTTTGAGTTTTTAACAGACTGGCCCAATAAACCCATTTTATTGAAACAGCATATTTTAATACAAATGATTTAAATTATTGTTAATTTAGAAATAAAATATAGAAAGCAGTAATTAAATCTGTATTTCTGTTTGCAAAAATTGTTCTTTGCTCTTTTAATTATTAATTTGAACAATCTTAAAGAAGCTAAAATTGTAATTGCCTGTGTGAGTGTGGGAATTAGTGTATTTCCAAGTATGCATCTAAAATATCAGCCCTGCTTTTCACAGTCTTCCTATTGTTTCCTCAGTCTTGATGACGTCATGTGTTCAGTCACGCAGCTGAATGGCATAGACGATAGTTCTGCACCACTGTGTAGTTGGCCAGACTCTTTGCCCTTTTATTCCTCACTGGGTCTGGGGATCAAACCTTGAGCAAGATGCTCTGCTACTGAGCTACAGCCCCAGCCCTGACCCTGCACACTTTTGTTTATGTCTTCTAACTTCTGGGTCAAATGGATATGTGTTTTCATATTTTCTTTGTTAGTGGAATTAAGGTATAATAAGGCTGAAGAAATAAAATTAGCTGAGGGCCGGGGATTTAGCTCAGGGGTTTCACTGCCTGCTGCACAAGCGCAAGGACCCGAGTTCGATCCCTGGTACGAAAAACAAACAAACAAAAAAGAAATAAAATTAGCCAGATGTGGTAGTATAACACCTGGGAGGCTGAGGCAGGAGGAGCACAACTTCAAGGCTGACCTAGGTAACACACACACACACACACACACACACACACACACACATCTGTATATATATGTGATATGGCCTGGGGATGAAGCTTGGGGGTAGAACACCCACCCCACAGTTCTTTCCCCAGTACCACATACCCACGTGCACACCCACACCCACACCAACAAGTGTTATTAAATGCTCTGTGTAATTGAAGAACATCTTGTGCTTAACAGTTGGTGAAATAAGTGCCAGTATTTGTTTCAACATGTTTAATCCTTGTTTATAGTAGCACAACACATAATAGCTAAATTTTGGAAATGGCATATATTACTATTAACGGATGAATAGATAAAGAAAATAGATATATATACACAGTGGAATACTACTCATTCCTAAAGAAGCATAAGCTTGAGTCATTTGTAGAATAATGGATGGATCTTGAGACCATAATGCTAAGTGAGATAAATCAACACAGAAGGTAAATATCCAGTGGTTTCTGTTGTGTGATAAACCAAAATGTGAATAATTTAAAGAGCAAAATAAAGGAGAAATGGTAGGAAACGGGGGTGGGTAGACTTTTTGGAGATGGGAAGGGGATCTGGAAAGGACAGAAGGAAGGGAAGGGGGAGTAAAAACAACCAAGATGTGATATGCATGTGCACCCATTCTCCAGAACAAGTTAACTATTAGGGACCACACGCATATACTAATAAAAAATAAACCTATTAAAAACACTAAGAAAAAAGAAAAGGGAAGTTAAATAACTCCAGGTCACAGAGCTTAATAAGTGGAAGAGTTGAGGCTTAACCAAAGTTGAGTTAGTTTTCAAGCATTGCATTTTTTACTGCTGTGTTCTGAAGTAATCTGAAATATACTTGATCTTAGCCAAAAGGCTGAGAAGTAATTGAAGTAAGCTGAAATAAATACTTAAGTGTCTTGGTTTTCTTTTTAACGAGGACTGTATTTTGTTAGTCTTTACCACTCTTCCTTTTTACTTTACAGGGATGGTTTTAGGTTTTCATCTCAAGAAGCTGCTTCTAGTTTTGGCGATGACAGACTGCTAATAGAAAAATTTATTGATAACCCTCGTCATATAGAAATTCAGGTCTGTACATTTTAAGATGCTTCTGATTATTATTTTATAGGCTCATACCCTCAGGTTTGTTTGCTTGCTACTGATCAAATCAAAAGAGTCCATTAGTTTTTTTAAAAAAGGAAAAAAGGATTTATTCAAATCTAGCTCCAAGGAGGTGGAGGGGCCTGTCTGCCTCAAATCACCATCTCACCTTGTACAGATGTGTTAGGGTCTTATATAGCAAGGAACAGTGTGAGACAAGACATGAGACTGTAGAAGTGTGCAGGCTGTTCCTTCCTGGACTCAGACCTCTCTCTCCCTTACCTAAGAAAATGAGGCTGTACTTGACCTACTTGTGCCAGCATCTGCATATTCTGTCCACTCCTCTGGACTGACAAGGAGGAAGCTGTTTCTGCCCTAAGCCTGAGGAAGTTTGGAAGTTAAGTGGCCTGAAGCCACTTAGCTCTAAAGGAAAGAAAAATCTATGAAGTTCCATTATGACTTTTAAGCAGTATCATTTATTTACTGTCATTGGAAACATCCCTTCTATTTAGAATGATTTTGAATTATTTCAGTAAGTTTAAATAAGTGTAAAATAAAGTGATCACCTGCTTTTGAAATTTGGTATAATTCTTGTCAAACAGTACTAGGATGATGGTTGGGATGGAAATGATGTAAAAATCAGTCTCCAAAAAGAAACAGTTCCACATTGTCTGTCCAGGTGAAGGATATTTTCGGCCTATAGAATCATTCAGTCTCTTTCTGAGATTGGGCCATTTTGGGGGCATTTTTTACAAGACAAAAGAGTCCTGTATAATTTCAGTTCACCAAAAGTCTGTTGTGACAGGTGTTCTGCTAGGAGGTGGTTATATAGAGTTGGCTAAATAATTTCTTCTGTTCGTATTGATTTAGCTAGTTGTTAAAATAGCTGTGGGATGGGCCGGGGATTTAGGTCAGTGGTTCCGGCGCCTGCCTTGCAAGTGCAAGGTCCCGAGTTCGAACTCCGGTACCAAAACAAAACAAAACAAAAATAGCTGTGGGAGTGTGGATTTCAACCAAACAAAACAAGGAAAAAAACTATACTGAAGTTTCTTTTAGTCAGAAATACCTTTGTGGTAATTTTACACATTGTGACTATGAATTGATAAAAGATGAACATCCAGTTAGTAACCCTTGAGTTTTAAGTATATTTTAAAATCTAACTTGGTGTGGATAGAGAACCAGAGAAGTAAATGAAAAAAACTATTATTTGCTGATATTGTCCCTTCTGTGGGGACATTATTTATGAGTAGAAAATCTTTCTGTATAACCCCAAATTTTTCAGAGTGGAAAAAAATGTTGATAGTTTTAAACATTGAATAAAAGATGCTTCCTTCTAGGGCTAGCAGGTGTTGTTTTATATTTTTTTGTTTTTAGATTTTCTACATTGAGATATTGCATTTATAGTGAAATTTACAAATTGTGTATAATTCAATAAAAACTTTATATGCACATGTGTAAATGTGTAACAACCATCCAAGTGTAGATTTGAAACATTTCTAATAAACCAAAGATTCTTTCATAACACTTTCCAATTAGTCTTTCTCCTTGGCTAGTGTGAATAACAGCTGGTCTGACAGCTAACATCATAGAGTGGTGTTTTCTGGTTGCTTTTTCAGGTGCTAGGTATCAAACCCAGGACTTCTGTGTTTTGGGTAAGTGCTCTACCACTGAGCTGCATCCCCAGCTCCACAGTTAGTTTTTGTCTATTCTTAAACTCCTTACAGGGCTGGGGATATAGCTGAATGGTAGCCTTGCTTAGTATGCACAAGGTTCTGGGCTCAGTCCTCATCACCACACATAAAACAAACCTTATATAAATGGAATCATTCAATATATACTTGTTTGTGTTTTTTTCATGCAACATCATATCACTGAAATTCTTCCATGAAGGTTGGCATTATCATTTGCTTTTAAAAAAATGTTCTGTGTTGTCTCATTGTTTGAATAACCCTTAATTTATTCATTTTGTTGTGTAGGTCATTGGGTTCTTCTCATTATTTTGATATTAGGAATAAATATTTTTAATATATTGAGAGCTATAGTTGGGTTACATGGTAAGATTATGTTTAATTTTAGTAGAGGCTGTGGTTGTAGTAATACATACTTTCAGCAACATATATGAGAGTTTCCATTGCAGCTTTCCTTTTCAATACTTGGTAATCTCAGTTTTTAAAAATGCATAGCCATTTTGTTGAACATGTGACAGCATCTGTTAAACTTAGATTTTCCTGATGAGTATTCATGTTAAAATAGAGTTTTATTGGAGTCTAACTTAAGTACACTTTGTACATCCAGATTAAGAGCTTTGTTTTTTTAGGTATTATATGTAGGTCTGTTACTCTTCTTGAATGAAAATTTTGTTTGGTATGAGATAGGATCAGAGTTTTTCTGTTTAGATATCCAGCTTGCCAGCATCATTTATTGTGGCAGCCATTTGTTATAATTTAAATATGACTTGGTCATTCACTTAATTATTTTGGTTTTAAAAGAAGCCTAGAAATCTGATACTGTGAACGTTCCAAATTCATTGTTTTTTTCCAGATAGTTTTGGCTCTTTTGTGGTTCCTTGATTTTTTCTGTGTGAATTTTAGATGTTACTATCAACCTACTTCCCTTTTTTCCATGTGGGATGTGGATTCAGGTTGATTGAATCTAGAGGCTATTCTGTGGAGAACTGACATTTTAACAAAATTGAATTTCCTAATCCATGGTAGGTCTTCCTTAGTCCTTCTCAGTATTGTTTTGATATAGTTGTTTGAGTACTGTTTTGAGTATAGAGGTTTTTCATTCAGTTTATTCCTAGATTTATTTATGACTGCATGCTGGGGACTGAACTCAAGGGAGTACTGAGCTACATCACTAGCCCTTTATATTTTTTAGATTTTGAGGCAGTTTTGCTTAGGTGCCCAGGTTAGCCTCCAACATGTGGTTCTTCTGCCTCAGTTCCCCAAGTAGCTGGGAATATAGGTGTGTGACACCATGCCTGGCTTAATCCTAGGAATTTGATAATTTTTGATACTATTATAAGTGTTTTCATTTTCTAAATTTCATTTCTCTGTTGTGTATTGTATATGTATAGAAATACAGTTGATTTTTGAGCATTAATCTTGAATCTGGTGTTTCTGCTAAAATTCACTTTTAAATTTTGTGTGCTTTAGTTATCTTTTGATGAGTAAAAAAACCCCTCAAAATGCAGTGATGTAAAGCATTTGTTCAGGCTACAAGGAGACTGCTCATGTTAATGTTTAGATATCTGAGTTTCCTAATAGAGCACGAGGTCCTTGAGGGCATAGACTAAGTCTTACTTCTTTGCTGTTCCCAGCAACCAAGCCTTTGTCTTTCATATTACTCATAGTCAATAAATGCTTGTTAGTTTGTGTAAAGTAATTACTTGTCTACATCAGTCTTTTGGTTTATTTTAATTAGCCGCAGCCTATAGCTTGGATGGTATTTTTAAACATAGGTGAAAATGACTCCCAGGAGTTTGACGGGACAAAACATATGTTTCTCATATCCAATGTATAATTGGAAGTTTATTACTTACTTATTTTTCTTCAGTTTCCACCATTTATATTGAAGAATTTGTGCACATGATAAGGATATTCTGCAAAAAAACAAGCTTTTACCTCTTCTCTGAGTCCCCTGCGTTTTGTCCCTAGATGAATACACTGTTACTGTTTATTGAATGATCATCCAGTGTCTCTTAAGAAAATATGGGTATATCACTTGTTTTTTACATGAGCTGTCACATACTGTGCCCTTTCTCATACTGAAACTGTGCACTGACAGTGTGAATACTACTCTGTTTATATCCTCATGTCCAGTGTTTCTCAACACGGGAACTCCTGGCATTTCCTGGGCTGGGCTTAGGATTGCATTATGTGAACCAGTCTGTTCTGGAGCTTTATTTAAGAAGTAAAATAGCTTGGAATTTTAAAAATATATATGTTTAGCATATATATATGTATATATATATATACATATACATATATATATATATATATATATATAGCTGTCTTTAAAAAGAAACATTATAGTAAATGGGAAAAAGCTGAAAAAAGGTGAAAGCATTTCCTCTAAAATCAAGAATAAGACAAGATGTCCATACTCACCAGTCCTACTCAATATAGTACTGTACTTGGAATTTTAGCCAGAGCAATTTTAAGCAAGAGAAAGGATAAATGGGAAAGGAAGAAGCCAATTATCTTTATTTGTACACAATATGATTCTATACTTAAAATCCAAAAAAAATTTTAGAGTTCATACGGAAATTCAGCAAAGTAGCAGAATACAAAATCAACATTATAAAAGTCAATAGTTTTTCTAAAAAAACGCAGTAGCTGGGCTGGGGATTTAACCCAGTGGTGCCGCCACTGCCTCACATGCGCAAGGTCCTGAGTTCTATCCCAGGTACCAAAAAACCAAACAAACTAGTAGCTGATTTTCTAAAAATCTGCGGTGAGCTAGCTGAGAAAGAAATCAGGAAAACAATTCCATTTATAATTGCTTAAAAAAAAAAAACCCTAGGACTTGTTTGGGATAAAAAAAACCCTCTACAATTAAAATTATAGAGCACTGAAGAAAGAAATTAAAGATACTAGAAGATGGAAAGACTTTCCACATTTACTTATTGGCAAATTAATATTGTTAAAATGTCCATATTAGTGAAAGTAATCTGTAGATTCAGTACAATCCCCGATCCAAATCCCAGTGACATTCTTCAAGAACTAGAAAAAACAATCCTAGTTTTCATATGGAAACACAAAAGACCCACAATAGCAAAAGCAATCCTAAAGAAAAAGCAAGGCTGGAGGCATTACAATTTCAAATTATACTGCAAAGCCATAGTTAACGAACCAGCATGTTACTGGCACAAAAACAGACACATAGACCAATGGAATAGAATAGAAGACATGGTAGCTATCTGATTCTTGACAAAGGGATCAAAAACATGTTGGAGAAAAAGCCTCTTTAACAAATGATGCTGGGAAAGCTGGATATCCATATGTAGAAGATTGAAACCAGATCCCTATCTCTCACTCTATAGAAAAAAATCAATTCAAAATAGATCAAAGACCTAGATTTAAGACCCGAAACACTGAAAATGCTAGAAGAAAACAGGGGAAATACTTGAAGTCATATGCACAATCATGAAGACTTCCTGAATAGGACTTCACTAGCACAGAAAATAGTAGCAAGCATCAACAAATGGGACCACATCAAATTGAAAGTTTCTACACAGCAAAGGAAATAACCAAGAGTGGAGAGACAGCCTAGAAAGAAAATATTTGCCAGGTACTCTTCCAACAGAGGATTAATATCTAGAAGGTATAAGGAACTCTTTAACACCAAAAAAAAAAACAAAAACAAAAAAACCAACTAAAAAACAAAACAAAACAAGAAAAATAGCTCTATCAATAAAATGTACATGAAACTCTTTCCCTCAAAAAAAATTTTTTTTGGAAGCTAGTCCCAGCACCCAGAGGGAGGCTCCCCCGCCACCATTCCATGCTCCTGGGGTGGAGAGGTTGGGCCAGTCCCAGCACCCAGAGGGAGGCTCCCCTACCGCCATTCCACACTCCTAGGGCGGAGAAGGTGAGCTGCTCTGGCGCCAGAAGCACCCCCCCCACCCCCGCCCTGTGGAAATGAGAAGACACGTAAACAAGCCTCAAAAACAGACTTCCAGATCACCTGTTAGCAACCCCAAAGGGAAACGAGATGCAACAATGTGATAACCACCTGGACTCTCTGAACTGGCAACAAAAGAGGATCTGGGAAAAATGAAATCAGAAATAATTACTCAAATAACAGCAAAGGTTGTGCTCATAGTGCAAGACATGATTAATAAATCTAGAGAGGACACAGATAAAAAAAATAGAGGATCTGAGGAACATGATGGAATCCCAACA